ATTTTTAAAATGTTTGTTTTGATGTCAAATACGTCTTGCTGTTTTGCTTTTTTGTTAAAGCAGTGTTGCTGTTGTAAAGTTGTACAGCTACAGTTGTGTTGCTGGGTTTTAAAGCAGGTTTGATTTTTTTTCTTCCTTATCCCTCTGTACAGGCAGGATTTCACTGTCCACTCTGTTCAAATGTGGATGAATGGCTACACATAGATGTGTGCACACACTGTCAGAACTGTGTGAGATCACTACCATCCTGCTTTTGTGGGGGTGGGTAGGGGTGTTAAATATTTATTTATTTATTTATGTTTTTTTTTTTTCCCCCATAGGTTTATAACATTCTAAAAGCTCTTTATTCCAAAGATACTACATGCTAGTCAGTGTATTCAGCAGGTGTAATGTATTGTAAGTTGCTTCAGAAGTATTGCAAGTATTACGTACAATAAAACAGTGCATTGACATAAAAAAGGAAATTTACTTTTGGTACTTAAGTACTTTTAAAAGCAAGTACTTCTGTACTTTTACTTAAGTAAAAATCTGTCTTTACAACTTTTACTTGTAATGGAGTAATATTTGACCAGCAGTATCTGTACTTTCACTCAAGTAATGGAGTTGAGTACTTTGTCCGCCTCTGCATATTGGTACCTTAAAGGAACATATTAGTACCTAAAGTGTACATATTAGTATCTAAAAGGTACAAAAGTGCACCTTTTGAAAAGGTACCGCCACAGTGACAGCTTTTGTACCTTTTCATCTGAGAGTGAAAAACCCCTAAAGAATTGTACCATTGTAAACTTTTTTTTGTCAAAATACCATTTATAAATTAATATGGGATATCTACGTTTTTAAAATGTTTTTGTTATTTTGTTGAATGTATTATGACTAAAACAATATTACCACAATTTCACTGTAGTAGGAATAAAAAATAAGGTATTTCAGGAAAACTATGGTACCATAGTAGATTTTATAAGGGCCAACTGCAATGTGTACATTATTAATTCATAAAAAAGTAAAATTCAAAATTATTCCAAATTAAAATTAGACTTACCTTGAAGCACAAATAGCTTGAAAATGAAAAGTGTACAGAGTGAAAACAGTTGAATGTCCCGCTGTTCGTTCATCTCAGTCGACGGGCGTCCTTCAACGATCAAGAAATTACGAGTTTCATCATTTTAGGAGGATCGATTGAAATTCTCCTTCAGAAAAAGATTCTCATAGGATTAATCAAGTTCAAATCTCTGAGGTACGATTAACAAACTAAAGTGATTTGTCCCAGAGTAGTGAAGGATAAACGTCCATCTTCTGTACAGTCAGAGGAGGATGATGTACCTGCGCGTTCTGCGGCATCAGGAGGACGGAGCGCACCTGCGCGCAGGTAACAGGTAACTCATCATCTACCTGATGTACGGAACGACATACAGATCATATGATATCCCAGTCACAGGAGAAGTACTCTGAATACAAGTTTAATTTAACTCACAATGACCAATAAAACAGTGCATTGACATAAAAAAGGAAATTTACTTTTGGTACTTAAGTACTTTTAAAAGCAAGTACTTCTGTACTTTTACTTAAGTAAAAATCTGTCTTTACAACTTTTACTTGTAATGGAGTAATATTTGACCAGCAGTATCTGTACTTTCACTCAAGTAATGGAGTTGAGTACTTTGTCCGCCTCTGCATATTGGTACCTTAAAGGAACATATTAGTACCTAAAGTGTACATATTAGTATCTAAAAGGTACAAAAGTGCACCTTTTGAAAAGGTACCGCCACAGTGACAGCTTTTGTACCTTTTCATCTGAGAGTGAAAAACCCCTAAAGAATTGTACCATTGTAAACTTTTTTTTGTCAAAATACCATTTATAAATTAATATGGGATATCTACGTTTTTAAAATGTTTTTGTTATTTTGTTGAATGTATTATGACTAAAACAATATTACCACAATTTCACCGTAGTAGGAATAAAAAATAAGGTATTTCAGGAAAACTATGGTACCATAGTAGATTTTATAAGGGCCAACTGCAATGTGTACATTATTAATTCATAAAAAAGTAAAATTCAAAATTATTCCAAATTAAAATTAGACTTACCTTGAAGCACAAATAGCTTGAAAATGAAAAGTGTACAGAGTGAAAACAGTTGAATGTCCCGCTGTTCGTTCATCTCAGTCGACGGGCGTCCTTCAACGATCAAGAAATTACGAGTTTCATCATTTTAGGAGGATCGATTGAAATTCTCCTTCAGAAAAAGATTCTCATAGGATTAATCAAGTTCAAATCTCTGAGGCACGATTAACAAACTAAAGTGATTTGTCCCAGAGTAGTGAAGGATAAACGTCCATCTTCTGTACAGTCAGAGGAGGATGATGTACCTGCGCGTTCTGCGGCATCAGGAGGACGGAGCGCACCTGCGCGCAGGTAACAGGTAACTCATCATCTACCTGATGTACGGAACGACATACAGATCAGATGATATCCAGGCACCAGGAGAAGTACTCTGAATACAAGTTTAATTTAACTCACAATGACAGTTTACAGCACAGTCAATGGATATGATTATTTATATTGTTCATATTTTAATCTAGTATTGTGGTATCGTCTTGCTCAGTGTCACAATGGTGATAAATTACCGGTTGCAAATATCACACCTACAAATGTTAGCTAAAGATGAGACCACTGCGCTAACGTTAAGTTAGGGGGGGGGGTGGTTTGGGGTTTCAGTCTCGAGACTTGTCCAACCGTAGTGCCCGTCTTTTGATAAACAAACACTTTTTGTGTGATATACTTGCGATACAGAAATATTCTACATAAATAATGATAGTAAAGTTGCTTACATTTCGTCTGTTACAGATCCTCACTGAAAGAAAGCGCTCGAGCAGCCTGCTGTTGCTATGGTTTTGTTCGCGAGCGTCTATTTACTGCGCTAAACGTAATCTTTAAACGTACAGTTTTGTGGTTATTAAAATTATATTACAAATTATTTAATAATTTTCAACTTATAACTTTATCCGTCTCGCGCAAAATGCCTTTGGCGCCTATTACAGTCTATGGTTTCAACTATTTAATTATTATTATTTTTTTGGGATAGGCTATACTGCTCACTGTGAACTCATTTATTCCAGACCAAATATATTTCCTGCTGTTATTAAAAAAATAAACATCCGCGTGAAAGTTTAGATCTGTCTATCTGTGCACTGATGTTGCAGTCATTTTCAAATGCTATGGTAGTGATAAACTCAGAATGAACTATGTTACATGCACATTTGGTTGCATATTTACGTGCACAGTTACTCTACGCTGTTTTATATTGCAGTGAATGGGTGCCGTCAGAATGAGAGTCCAAACAGCTGATAAAAACATCACAATAATCCACACTTCTCCAGTCCATCAGTCTTGTGAAGCAAAAAGCTGCATATTTGTTAGAAACAAATCAATCATTAAGATATTATCATTTTAAATCTAAAATAGGAGTCCATAATCCATTATAACGCTCCTGCAGGGAAAAAGTCCATCACCTGTTGTCCTCTCACATCAAAATCCAAAGGTGCATATTTCTCTGCTGATTTTTTATTCTTGATGGATTTGTTTCTTATAAACATGAAGCTTGATTCTAGCCTTCCGATATTAATTGATAGACTGGAGTCATGTGGATTACTTGTGAATTATTTTGTTGTTTTAATTAGCTGTTTGGACTTTCATTCTGATGGCACCCATTCACTGCAGAGGACCCATTGGTGATCAAGTAATGTAATGCTAAATTTCTCCAAATCTGTTCAGATGAAAAAAAAAACCTCATCTACATCTTGTATGGCCTGAGGGTGAGTACATTTAAGTCTTGTGATCAGATTTAAGAAAGTTATTTAAAAAAAAATGTGTGTGTTTTGTTCACAGGCTGGCTGATGAAGATGACCGTATCTGTTCCTGAGGAATTGGATGGACTGATGGATGAAGCTGCTTATGAGAGATACATCAAATCTATAGAGGACTAGAGTATGCTGCTGGCATGTTGCATATAGGGGAGAATTTAAAAACAATCAATTTAGGAATGTTTATAGTAGTTGATTTAGTTTAGATGTTCTCCTAAATTACATTTTCCCATCCACCCATACCCAGCCACTGGAGGGGACCACATGGACACAACATTATGCACTTCGCTTGAAAAACAACAAGCATACCTGGTTGGATTGAGCCAGTTACTGTATGTAGCCACAGAGACACAGCCTATGTAATGGTTTCATCTCTTTTGTAGATGTTACACTGTTCCTGAAAAAGTTTGTCATTGCTCTGAATAAGCTACAAATAAAATGTGGAAGTACGAATGACACCCAATGTCCAGTCTGATGACAGCTATGAAACCTGGTGAAATGTTAGTTTTGAGGACTCATAACTGAGTTAAAGTGTTTAACATTAATTAACAACATTAAACCAATATTTAAACTATTTTAGACATCTTGCTTTTTGATGCCAAATGTGCCTCTAATTTACAAAATGAACCCAATGTCTGCAAATGAATTATTTTAAGTTATTTTATAAAGTACCATTAAAGAAAACAAAACTTGAGTCATAAATATGTAAAATTTCCAACACCATGATGGATGTGTTTGTTTGTACAAGAGAAGAAATTTACTCATGCTGCATTTATAGTCAACATGAAAAACTGACCATACTTGCTTCCAAACATAGCTGCTTAAAAGTCAAAATAGTGTCCAAAGTCTGTTATTCTGACCTCTAGATGTAATAAAAGAATAAGATTTTTGACTCATATCTACCAGGTAAAAACCTTAAGTCTGATAACTTTGAAAAGTAATGAGACATTATATAAACACATAAGCAATAATAAAAAACCATCTAATTACAAAATACTGTCTTATACAAGTTATTTGTATTACATCCTTTTTTACCAAAGTCTGTAAAATGTTTGTTAAAGTTAAAGGCACTAAGGGATGGAATACACTACACAACTTAAATTCTGAGCAGATTTAGTTATTAATCAGTTAAAGATAAAAATTGGACAACATGCTTAGGGAAGTGTGTGTCTAAAAGCAAAGTGGAATGCAGCCATTGTGGAGTGCACATCTGATGGACACTTTAGTATCCCATGAGGCCACAGGAGAGGATTTGTGAATGGCAGTGAAGCGACCCAGCTGACACTGGTAGGTCATGTGACAATGACAACATGGGGGATTCATACCACCCATATTCTATATACAACATACTTTTTCAGAGCTTGTGAAGTAAATGTCAAACCAATTGTAGTACCTATAGACTAGTATGCGATTTCAGACGCAGCTAATGGGTTTTTAAATCTGGCTCAAAATATCAAACGTGCTTGATTTCCTCAGCCTAGATCAAAGTCTGAAGCTAAAAAATCTTGAGTCTGTGCCAATAATACACCACATGAATATGTGCGAAATCAACTCCGACAACCGAAAATGTGCAGACTGACTGACTGGAGTTGCCTCATCCTGCAAATCTGTGCAAAGTCTTGTAGTGTATTCCAGCCTTGACATGTCAGTCTGTTATCTGTGGGGAACAGTGACACCTGTCTCTGGTTGGGGTACGTCTGGCCCGGCCGCGCAAGACTGTGGGTTGAGGCAAACCCTCCAGAAGACACCAGTCTATACGGGTTATCTTGCCTGTCTGGATCCTCTGAGTGGTGTTTAAACTCCATGCGGGTGATTACTGGGAGGAGAAACCCAGTTCCTTCACGACTCACAACATCCTCCATACTGCCCAGAGCTTCCTGCACCAGCCTTGCAGGAACAGGTACCATGTCACAGCCTGATCGCTGGTCTACAAACTCCCAAAAATGCCTTCTCACTGACGCAACATCCTGTAGAGACTGTGCACGTCGCTCATCAAGGTCAATAATGATCCGCTCTGGGTAGTTGCTGCCTAAAACCACACCTGTGAACAGAAAGCGATAGATGAGATAATTGTGATTTAGTTTTTAATTAAAGCCAACCCATTTTATCTCCATAATGTGATGTCTTTCCAAGTGATAAAAAAAGGTATGGAACTTGATTTTATTGGGAATACTGGTGGATAATATAACCAAAATCCTATATTGCAATATGAGTAATTTATTTGACAATAGTTATTTTTGCTGGAAATAAGATAACGTTATGTGTAATCTACTGTGTTAGTGAATACACACCAAGTCACCAAGACAAAATTGAATTGTAATTGTCCGATTTAGTGCAATAAATTGTGAAAAAAGACTGCAATTCAGTACTCGCATACTGTCAGGGGGCTTTAAGTGCTTGCACTTGGGTGTCCTTCAAAACAGTGTGTGAACACAGTTCTCTTCTGTGTCTATTTGCACGCTTAAAATCATTTTTAAAGGACTTTTTAAACATATTCATCACCTTTTAACTGCAATAAAATGCAAAAAACAACAACAACTCTGTATTCACATGCTATCTATTCACCAGCGACTTTATGTACATGTGCACACAGAAAACCGTCTTAGAACAGTGTGCTAGCTGAATTGTCTTTTGTGTGTTATCAAGCCAAAACTGCTAAAAATCACTTGACTGTTCAAATGGGCAGAGCTTAATAAGCATGAAAAGAAAAAAATTGTAACGGTGCCACACTGCAATGGCACATAGAAATGGTTGTCAAATTTCTACCGGTTTATCGGTATATCAACGAACCCTTAATTGGAAATTAACCAGCATTTTTGCTGGATTCTTGTGCATTTTCAGTTATTTGACCACTACAAATATGAAACTCTAAAATGACCTTGAAGCATTTGCATGTGATATTAGCAGTGTATCTCATTTAATCTGTTTCAGTCCACGATAACCATGAACATATTATGTAGTGTAA